AAAGAGAGAGAATGGATAGATAGAAAGGTAGAGAAAGAGAGGGAGGGAAAGGTAGAGAGAGAGGGTTGAAGGAGTGAGAAATAGAGAGATAAAAAGGAGGGAGAGAGGGGGAAATGCAGAGGGAGAGAGAGAGTGGGGATGGAGACAGAGGAAAAGGGAGGGGGAAGAGAGAGGAACAGGGAGGGGGAAGAGAGAGGAACAGGGAGGGGGAAGAGAGAGGAAAAGGGAGGGAGAAAGAAACTTTGTCTTAACTGGAGCATAACCAATCGACTTTAACCCCTTCGTGACTGATGACGTACAGTGTACGTCGCCAGCATCGGGGCTGTTTAAACAGACTCCCGGTGACTTTTGCCGCCGGGACTCTGTTTAAACTTGTAGAGCCGACTGTCGGCTTTACAACAGAAGCGATCCTGGCGACTTACCTGTCGCCAGATCGCTTCTGCGTCCCGAAGAAGGGGCCGCCCCCCCCAAATATATAATGTTGGGGGGTTTTAAGTAATTTTCAGGCCTAAAATGTGGAATATAACATGGGTACAAAAAATGAAAAAAAGGCCTCAGTCATGAAGGGGTTAACATTTTTATTTTCTAAGCTGTGTGTGAAAAAATTAAAACATAGAAACTGATTGGTTGCTATGGGCAGTCTCACCATCTAGCTAGAACTTGTCTCAGATGCTTTTGATTAGTTCCCTCATTGAATGAAAATTGACTTTTTTTACATAAAATAATGTAATGGAATTTTCTTTTATATATAAATTAATGGAACATATTTTTTTTAAATGGAACAGAATGTTTTTATAAAATAAAAATTGATATCTATTAATAGAACGAAACACAAAGAATGAATTACATGAAAATGCCGTGTTTATAAAATAGACTATAATACCGATTATAGGTCAGGCTATATCTCCGGTCCTATGGATATTCGGGGCACCTCTACGGACTGTTCCAGTAGAGATGGGTGTATTTTGACTCCTAATATTGTTATCAGATATAAATGAGGGAGGCTTTAGTGGGAGATACTCAGAGAAAATCCGTTCCCTCAGCCCAGATACGAATAACACAACTATCACCATTAGAGCTCCGGGCACTGTGCTAATACCATACTACAATTCCCGAGATCCCCCGCGGCGGAAGCGGAAGTTGCGCTCTCTATGGAGACAAGCGTGGCTTGATACCTGTAATCGGCCGTTGTGATGTTGAGGTCAGAGTTCGGCTGCAGTTAGAAGACACAGGCCGTACATCGGTGCCTTGTTGTGCAGAAGAAGAGTTAAGAGAACAGATTGCCGATATGTGTGAGGGAGCCTCCAGGATCTCGGGCCCCATACCCCCGGATCCCACACTCTTCCCAGACTGCTACAGGCGACCTGAGACAGCCCGGGGGAGGCTGGAAGGAACTCATCTGAAACTGGATTTCCTGTCTGGACCCCTGGCCCCAGATCCTACCTTATACCCAACCTGTTACAGTGCCCGACCTGCCTACCCTGCACCCAGAATCAGACCTAATGCTCGAGAAATCCTGGACCGGGGTCAGAGTGGCAGTGTAGGGGTCCTGCTGAGACTGGAGGGCATTTCCCTGCATGGCCAGCCACAGTTGTCACCTCCGCGGAAAAGTAAGGACCACGGCAAAGAGAATGTACGCAGGATGAGGGAGATCCAGAAACGCTTTCGGGAGAAGGAGATAGACCGGGAACAGGTTGCACCAAAACCAATCAAAGCTCTCTGGAAGTCCTCAAAATATGAGACTGTGGAGTCCAAAGTGATAGCTAAACTCCAAGAGCCTCCGCCACCACCACCTTCCAGCAGTGTGCCAGCCAACTTCCTCAAATCACATTCCCGCTGTGGTTCTGGGTTGCCACCAAAAAGACCCAGCTCACCTGGCCCTAGCCGGCCTCCTAGTGCCAGGGACAATATGGAGGTGCATGGGTCCAGCATTGACTTTGTGGCCCACAATGCTAGAAATGCTAAGAAGGTGCAGATCAGGCGTTCCAGATCCATGCAATCATTAAATGAAGTGCTGGAGGACAAACAACGGCACCAGAAGGAGTACAACTCCAAGCAGAAGGGGCATCTTCCTCAGTATCTTTTGGATCTGAAGCAGCAGTGGCTTAAGGAGAAGGAGGAGATGAAGAAGCAAGTCCCTGACCCCTCGATGCCTCCTGGTCACACCAAGATGCCAGAGCAAGAGAGGCTGGAGACCCTCAGTAAACTTAAGGAGACTCAGACCCAGCTAACCAAGGAGTTGCTGATGCTCCCAGTCCGGGCAGATACTCTCAGCATCCAGAATCGGCGCACAGAACTAGACAAAAAACTTACTGAAATTGAGGAGGCCATCAAAATATTTTCCCGTCCTAAGGTTTTCATCAAGATTGACGCTTAAAGGAGACCTGTCATGCGAGAAATATGTAGGGGCCATTGCTGACCTAACTTTCTGAGAATGCTAATTGCCTGGCTGATTTGCTGATGCTTTGGCTTCAATGTCTTGAATCACTGATCTGGAACAAGTATAGAGATTAGGATTCTGACTTTTATTTGCTACTTGCTTGTTCTAGATCTGTGCCAAAGCCAGGCACAACCTGGCACCTGGAATTTTTAGAAGGCCGTCAGCCTCATATTTATTTCTTGCCAAAATGTTTTTTTTTGTTTTGGATAGAGTGGAGAGGGATCAGAACCCCTGTTAGGTTTTTATCACTGTGTCCCCATTAGGGAGATTCACTCTCTGTATTTGTCCTGGTAAATCCCAAATTATGGGCTGTCACCAGAAGGGGACTAGATGGGAAATCTTCCAGTGGGGACACTAGTTCTGGTGAAAATGGGGAATTTCCTCTCACTTCTTGTTGTGGCTCAGACAGGAAGTGGAGGGAAATCTCCCCAATGGGACACAGATGGCAAAAAAATCTGACCGAGGTTTTAACCCTCCCTTACTTCAGTTCTACTTAAAGGAGAGCTACCCAGACCCCTGTTATCAGATGCCTGACATTTTGACAGGTTCAGATTTATATCTAGGCAGGATGGGAAAATGTTATGTGGTGAACTTTCTATCCACTGTTCTACAGATAAGGATTACATACATACAGTTATTTTTTTTTGCTGTTACATAAATTAACATAATTTTTCGGAGTAGATTTAGATACCGTAAATAAGACTGATGTGCTACAATTGAATATATGTAGACCTCCTTCTCACTTGTGCATTTTTTGTGCAGCATAATGCAAGTAAAACAGCATGCAAAATATGCAATAAATGTAGTCAATGGCACTGATGAAGTTGCAGAAACAATGCTTAAATCAGCACAGTGCCAGTACAATGGCATAGATCACTGCACCAAATATGCACAAGTATGCATGGAGCTTTAAAAGAGAAGTGCAGGGAAAGTAACATATTCCATTCCTACAGCTTAGGGCCGGCGTGGGACACTGCAGCTGTCAGACGCTGGCTCCATGATGACAGCTGAGTGATCATGTAACTGCTAATCACTCAGCTCATGGTTTCTCCATGCAGAGAGCAGCGATGTTCGGTCGGGATTCCCCCTGCCCTCTCCATTTCTCCAGCACCCATTGGAGGGACAGAGAGGGGGCGGGCATGACTGGCTCTAGAGAGGCAGAGCCAGCTGTCATTTAAGCAGCCTGTGCGGATCCCCGACTGTGGCGCAACTCAGCGCTTTCAGCAGTTATTGCGCATTATGACGCTCTCTGCTGACTTTGGGTTACACGAGTACATTAATGAGATGGAAATCCACAGCAAGGGTCAGCGTTACTTCTCTTTTAAAAGCTGTATGACCACCCCTACTTTGTTTTCTGTCTTTTTTTTTCTGTGCAGAATTTGTAAAAGAAAAAAAAATATGTATTCAAATTGGGAGAAAGATGAGGAGCTGAGTTGGACAGTAAGATGTATTTTTTAAAGTTGTTTGCAGACTGTTTGTGTGTCTGTGTGTGCGCTGACACTTTTGTTTATACAGAAAACTGTTAATCTGTGTACAATCTTCGCTACCTTCAGAATGGGTTCACACTTGGGCGTTTTTCAGCGCTGATCGAAGCGCTGAAAAACGCTCAAGCAGTGAAATCACATAATTTCCTATGGGCATGGTTCCCACCTGGGCGTATTTCAGTGCGTGTTGACGCGCTGAAAAACACCCTACGCCCGAACTAGTACATGAGCTTCTTTTGGGGCGTATTTCCTCGCGTATGCATTGGTATTCCCGAGTGTGGCTCCGGGTTAACAAAACGGTAACGGTACAGGTCTTACCTTGTCCGCGATCCCCGCTGTTTCCTTCGGCCGCTGCCGTCTTCCGGGTTCCGTCCCTTGCGAGCGTCCGCGTTGCAGGGGGCGGAACCGGCGGGAAGTTTGAAAGTTAAAAAAACAAAACCCGAAAAAGAGAAAGAGGAGAAAAAGGAAAAAAGAATCATACCACCAGGGAGGTATAAAAACGAGCGTTGAACACGCGTTTCACTGAACTTAAAAACGAGCTGAAAAAACTAGCTGAAAACGCGCCTATAGTAACGCCCAGGTGTGAACCCAGCCTAACTTCTTTTTTACTGACATGGGAGATACGGGGCTTAGACGGCTGTTGGAATTATGATAAAAATCGTTTTGCTATGATGTGTAAAAGATTTGATTGTTTGGAATATGAATGTTATTTATTTGTAATGTTTTGAAATTTGTGTGGCAATTGAGTTACCAAAATCTAGAACAAATATAAACGTTAAAACTCTACTTTTGTACTACTTGCTTTATATGTATGTAAATTGGTGTGATAGTCATTATTGTGCTATTGGCGCTACAGTGCATTTTTTTCAAACGTTACTTGCTACCTATGTGTGTGCATGGAGGGAATGATGTGTTTTATAAATGCACAGAGGGGAGTTTTATCAAAACTGGAGCAGTCAGAATTTGGAGCAGTTGCCTGTAGTAACCAATCAGCTTTTATCTTCAGTTATGTTTTGAAAATTAAAAATGGAAGCTGATTGGTTGCCATAGGCAACTGCTCCAGATTCTGCGTGCAGAATTTTTGATGAAGCTCCCCCCCAGTGAATTAACATCTATATATCAAGGTACAGTTTGAGTGAGTAAGAATGTTAACCTATAGGATATATACACAAGTATTGTAGACTATAAATTTTTGGGGGGTTTACTGACACTTTAATGCTGAATCTGGGACAACCACAAAAATCTAATTTGGTATTTAGCAATATAAACAATATGGAAGTAAAATAATAAATGTCTTCGAGTTTTTGCTAACAACAAGTCCATTGGGGCCAGTTGACTTACTACAGTGACCTGCGTTTTACCGCACCAGTTCAGCTCAGGTCACGGCAAGGACACATAGAAAAGAGGAGCGTGCTGCAATAAAATGCAAACATGCTGCATTTTATTGCAGCGCACTGCATGCCGCCGCACAGTACGCTGCTGTGCGGGGACCAGAATGGAGTGTATACATTGTACACTCCACGTAAAGGCAAAAGGAAAAAAAAGTAATGTAAACAGTGACATCCCAGGAGGTGTGCAGTACAACGCACACTACCAGAGCCGCTAAAATGCAGCGTTTTTGCACATGGGCTTGTGTGAACTGGCCGTAAGAAGAGTGATTTTATGGCTGCTACAAAATTCATAAGCCATGTCTATAAGTGAATAGAAAAACTCAGCATGTATATGGACAATAAGTCCCAGGTTCACATCATTATTATTATACAGGATTTATGTAGCGCCAACAGTTTTCACAGCGCTTTACAATATAAGGAAGACATTACAATCTAAATACAATTCAAGACAAGATGGTAAGGACGGGCCTGCCCGTGAGGGCGTACCACCTTAAAGGGAGGGGGAAGTGATAGCTTCTCCTAGAGAATACATTGGGCAGCCAGAAGTGTCAATAGTCCAAAATTCTACAGTGACAATGCAGACGATACAGCAGGAAGTGGAACTTAGAGGATACATCTGCTTGCTGTTTACAGGAAGTGTTCTCTAGTTAACCCAGTAAGTACATTTAGGAAATTCAGACGTTGAGTACTAGCGACTGACTGTAGTCTTGTTTTGTAATAACCATAATGCACATTTTGGGAATACAGAGTGAGGGGAATTAATCAAAACTGGAGCAGATAAAATCTGGAGCAGCTCTGCATGGCAAACCATCAGCTTTTCTCTTTGATTAAGGTTTGAGAATGAAAGGGAGAATATGATTGGTTGCCATGCTCAACTGCTCCAGATTTTGTCTGCTCCAGTTTTGATAAATCCCTCTCATAGCCTTTTTTCATTTAAAACTTATCTCTGGGGGCGTGGCTTGGCGCATGGAGCGGTGAGACGTGTATCGGCTCGTCTAGTAGCTCCCTGGGCGACCTCCCCTCCTTCCTAGGCAAGCTGGAACTCCCCCAGGTCGCCCTTCCGGACTGGCCACTCAAACCGACCCTCCCCGGCTTTGTATCAGCCGCTCCGTGGAAGCAAAGATCGAACAGACCGGCCGGCCGGATGGAGGCCTCTTCTTCCTCCAATACCTGACTGGGGGCTCATTCACCTCAATACTCTCTTGCCTTAACTGTTTAAAAAATACTAATAAAAACTGATTCAACACTAAAACTTATCTCTGGAGGGGAAAAACCTCCCCTTGCAGTGCACACTGCTCATGTTACTTGCTCGTTAATCTCTAGGGGACACGTAAAAGGATATTACTTCCCTACTCCTCTAGCAGTTGTCCCTGCGCTTTGGCTCGTGGCTATGGGCCCGGCATTATACAGTTGTGCTCATAAGTTTACATACCCTGGCAGAGTTTATGATTTCCTGGCCATTTTTCAGAGAATATGAATGATAACACGAAAACCTTTCTGTCACTCATGGGTAGTGTTTGGCTGAAGCCATTTATTATCAATCAACTGTGTTTACCATTTTCCAATCATAATGACAACAGAAACTACCCAAATGACCCTGATCAAAAGTTTACATACCCCAGTTCTTAATACGGTGTGTTGCCCCCTTTAACATCAATGACAGCTTGAAGTCTTTTGTGGTATGTGTGGATGAGGCTCTTTATCTTCTCAGATGGTAAAGCTGCCCATTCTTCCTGGCAAAAAGCCTCCAGGTCATGTAAATTCTTGGGCTGTCTTGCATAAACTGCAGGTTTGAGATCTCCCCAGAGTGGCTCAATGATATTGAGGTCAGGAGACTGCGATGGCCACTCCAGAACCTTCACTTTATTCAGCTGTAGCCAATGACAGGTCAACTTGGCCTTGTGTTTAGGACCATTGCCATGTTGGAATGTCCAAGTACGTCCCATGCGCTGCTTCCGGGCTGATGCATGCACATTTGTCCTCCAGTATCTTTTGATAACATACTACATTCATCGTGCCATCAATTCTGACCAACTTTCCTGTGCCTTTGTAGCTCACACATCCCGAAAACATGAGCAATCCACCTCCGTGTTTCACAGTAGGAATGGT